AGTGACCATCACAGCCAGCAAACATGGCCTAAGGGCTGGATGTATTACATCTGATAGCATTAGCAAACAGCAGAGTCTTCTCTGAGCAACCTGATGTCAGTAATCCATTAATCTGATAGTGCGTATTGATTCTACTCCTTCCATATTTCTGTCCTCACTAAACACTTCAGAATTTGCCAAGGATACGGAGAGTAAAAAAAAAAAAGAAAAAAGTGATTTTATCACATCAATCATTTGAACAAAAGCATTCTAGCATTCTATTATCTTTTACAGATATATTTAAGATTCTCTTCACTGGGATACCCACAGGCCACAAAAACTTTGCAAAGAAAACAAACAAGAGAAAAAAGTTCAATTTTTTTTTCACATGGTCTGTAAATCTGTTGCCTATTTCCACAGCCCATAAGCCTCTCCAGACTATCTTGCTGCCTTGAGCTAAATGAATTTAAAAGTGTATCCTACTCTTTTTGGTTCTCTTAATAAAACTGTTGATATTTTACTATCTTAAGCAGGACTTTCTTCATAACAGTGCGAAAGAAATTGCTTTCCTTGAAAGTAAAGCTTTGAACAAGAAGGTGTTATAGCAAAAATTAAGTAGCAACAAGCATACTCAGGAATCATTTAGTAATGACTCCAACTTACATAAACAAAACAAAAACATTTATCTGATTTGTTTTTCAAATAGTCATACTGCATGGTTCCTGCAGTAAAGTGACAACAGCGGTAATTTAGTTAAAATTTAAGTAAAACAGAAGACAGAAGCTAAACTACCGATTATTAGTCTAACATGCTTTGTTTCTAATACACAGTGTCCTGTCAAACTGTGCTAGAAACAGTGTCCACAGGGCATACAGCAAACACAAAAATATGACTTCTAGCTCAGGAGAACCATATGCCACCAAGCACATAACGCTGAGAAGGTACGAACACTGTGAAATGCTTCTGTATGCTTGAACTTACCTTACATTTTTTCCCTAAACAGGCACAGTGGCCACTCCCAGAGGCAGAATCCCAAGTCAGATGGGCATTTATTTGACCCTGAGCAAATAACCTTGTTCTGATGTCTTTAAGGAAGTGTGTCCTCCGGGCTCCATCTCTGAGCTCTTTCGTCAAGTAATGCTCATTGCTATGGCAGCTGCACTGCCACAAAGTTAGTACCATGTTATCAGCTAGTCTGAATCACTGGTTAGAAACTATTGTATGAAACAAATATAAATCCCTCTTGGAGTAAGCAAGTTGAGAAATACTACTGTTGTCTTTTATTATTGCTTATGCTGATATTTCAAGTACTATTTATGCATTCATGCTTGAGTTATAATGTACCATGATTAGTCCTCCCTATCTCATTTTCCATGCTTCTAGTCTTATAGGTCAACCATCAGTTTGAAACTTTTTCCACAATCTTGCTAAGAATCTTAGTGGTGCAATCACTTTGCCTTCACGATAATATTGTTGGGACAAGAAGAAAACGAACCATTTTATAATCTATTTAATCCACTTAAGTAAAAAAAGTATTTTGTGTATTTTAGCTCAAAAAGGGAAGTGCATAGATGATTTCTCATTCTCGGTATGTTCCAAGAAGTATCTTCTCCCAAGCTGGACAAGAGGATGCAGAAGACCAACCATAGGGATAAGTATTTCCACTTCCTTCAGGCACTACTCATTCACCCCTCTATGTTGATACTTCCTTCATTTCCCTTTTCCAATGATTTAGTCCTATCTTGATTGTCCTGTTTATCAGACAATGAGAAATGTTTCAACTCCTCATAAATTACAAATTATAGCACTACCAACTTCAGAAAGTGATTCATCATGTTTCAGGAACTGTGAGAAAGGCTTTTCGCATATAGTCAGTCACATTTATAAAAATTGAATCTTCAGAAAATCTTCTTCATTAAGGGTATTTTGAAAGATTTGACTGACTCAAGGACAGTGTGAGTGAAAATGCGACGAACAAGGGTATTTGAATACTAACAGATCATTTATTTGTAGGAAACTATCTGATACAAGAAGGCATTCATTTCTATCATCAATCTACTAGATAGTGTAGTAGACAAAGATAGACTCAATGTGTAAAGAAGACATAGAAACTATATCATTATGAAACCTGAATTCAATTTTAGTCAAAGTCCTTTATTAAACAGATTATCATCAGGTGTGTCACTCATCTAAGCCTCCATCATATGCTTCCCTATTGTAGTAAACATTTTGAGCTGGCAGAATCACAAATGATATTTGCTATTCCTATCATGTTGTCCTTTGTTTTATAGCACCTGACCATACAGTCTTCCATTTGGACCATGATTCAAATATAGGCATCACTTAGAAGTGATCAGCAGATAGGAAAGAAAGACAATGTAAATTTTATGAGGCTTTCTATGGATTTTTTTTATTATTCTATGGAAATAGATGTCAACAGATTATTGCTAGAAAAAAGAAGATATTAATAATACTGCAAGAAGACATCAGGAAGGAAACAAAAAAGAAAAACCAAGTCACATTAGAAAAATAAATAAATAAGAACCTAGAAAACCACTCAAGTTAATAACCTCCAGAATATCTGGTCCTTAACTGTATATACATCTAATAAAAATAGAAAGTGTTCAATATAGACATTATTAAAAGTTTTGCTTATCATGGGGCCAACTATATAGTCTTCCAAGAGTATATTGTCCTGCTCTTTACAAAAAGGAGAGAACAGATGCTGTCCCCTATCCTTTCCAGGGAAGGTGGGCATCACCAAGTGGAGCTAGCCAGTACTCTTTTGGAGAGGGCAAGAAGAATGGGGTATTACATAGATAAAGGAAATAAGACCTCTGAAAAAATGAAGCCTTTTCTTGAGGTTACCTGAAACATTTGTGTGGTCTTGACAATGTCTTGCTTATCTATACTGCAGAAATGGTCATGATGTTCTGCACACAATTTGCAGGAGAACAGCATTAACTGTACAAGTGACCATCACAGCCAGCAAACATGGCCTAAGGGCTGGATGTATTACATCTGATAGCATTAGCAAACAGCAGAGTCTTCTCTGAGCAACCTGATGTCAGTAATCCATTAATCTGATAGTGCGTATTGATTCTACTCCTTCCATATTTCTGTCCTCACTAAACACTTCAGAATTTGCCAAGGATACGGAGAGTAAAAAAAAAAAAGAAAAAAGTGATTTTATCACATCAATCATTTGAACAAAAGCATTCTAGCATTCTATTATCTTTTACAGATATATTTAAGATTCTCTTCACTGGGATACCCACAGGCCACAAAAACTGCTTCCAAAAGTTTTATATCAGTTCAAAGTATATACATATTTGTGTATGCACCTCTAAATGTCATGAGTAAGAAAAGATAAAAGCAGAAGTGCTTTCATTCTCCACCACAGTTTCAACCTGTGTGTTCCTTGTCATTCTCTTCCTATGAAAAAGTATGAGACAAGTCCAAATTTCAACTCTCAAGTTTCCTTCAAAGAAGCATAATGCGGTTTACTGCAACAGATACATCCAGGGAGGTGAGTTGCTGATAACAGAGATTCTAGGAAGGGTTGGTTTATTGATCAGAGAAGCACTTAGTAGGGGAAGGTCACATCAATTCAGCTGAACTAACCAAAATCTTATGGTAGTCAGAGAGATGGAGACAGGTAAGCATCTTTTGAGATGGCCTGGGGTATCCCATCAGCCTCTATATGTGCCCCTCCAGAAGGGCATGGGTCTCCTGCAGGTCTCTCACCTCTGACATCCCCATGGAGGAATCTTTACTTAGGACTCATCACTGATATTCAGGCAATGTAAATGAGTGCTGGCTGTCCATGCGAGCATGATCAATTTAGATATCAAATTAGGTGTCTTAGTGCAATGAATTTGCTCCCTTTCTTCACTATATTCAAACAGAGAGCAGATACTAGCTTTTCCACTCATACAATGTTGCCCTGATGAAATAGTATTTTCATAAATTTGCTTGCATAACTTAGCCTTTAGAAAATGACAAGTGAAAGAGCCACAAGTACTATTCATATGTAACTGTTAATCAGCCAGGAGTTACTACAATCAAGTTTTGCTGAGTTTGCTTCATTTGGATGGGCTGCTGGACAGGAAATAAATCCCTGGAAATTTTTTTGAATCCTCTAAATCAGTGATTTCCAAACTAGAAGTCCAGCCTCTAAGCATAGTCATGAACTTCCAAGAAATCATTTTTTTTTCATAATTAAACTAGCATCATGCTAATACAATATTTCTAGTTTGTAATTGAGATTGTAACTGGAAAACATTTAGGAACAAAAAGCCACAGAGATGATGCAAGTGCAAAATTAACCATTCCAACAATCCTCTTGGAACAATTTAAATTACAAAGATTTCTTGGTCCTGCGGCTGTCTACAACAGAGGTTTATTTCATGTATTAGTACCTAAAACGTTTGCTCAACTTAGTGGCTTTCACTTTATCCAAGTTTTTATTTGTTAGTTCAAGTTATGCCATTCAGAAGCTAGAACATCCTTTCCGGCTTTGGAAAGAGCACAGAGATTAACTTCAGATAGCTGAATAAAAATTAAAAGGAACAGAGTAGATGCAGCTTGTAATGAAATCAGAGCAGTTCTACTTATCTGAATTCATTAGAAAGTTAAGAACTGTTTCTAGCTAACTAGAAATTGTGTGTTTTCTGCCTGTGCACCCTGAAATATGTTGTGGTGCAAAAGTATACATGGCAAATTATTTTTCCTGCTGATTTATTTATATGACACCAGCATTCACAGATGTTAACATTTTATTGTACAGAGTGTCAGTCACAGACATCCACTACGTAGAGAGGAAGCACCTCTCCTGAAACTGTTTCACCAAGTCCTTGTTGCAGATTCAGGGAGTCAGAAGGCTTCTTACTTTTATAATCTGCACTACCAGGCCTGAAACACACTGTGTTCAAAAACTTCTGAAGACGTCACCTCAGAGGGAGCACAAAATAATTGTAACCCCCAGTGCAACTAACCCTACTCCAGAGTTTTTACTATACCTCTGTGTGAGAGCTTCTCCAGGATGACCCTTAGGCGCTGAAGAACAGGGGGTGAAATGTCATATTTATAGATGTCTATTACTGGCACTCGCTGACATCTCCCAAATATTCCATCTGCAGGAGAGAGAAAAAGAAAAGGAAAAATATACATTTTGTTTTCTGAGAGGAAGAAATGCATGATGAGATGCGCATTTCCAATGTATCCTAATTATATACTGAAGAAACCTTTTAAAAGACACTTTAAAAAGCTATCAAAGGACTACTGAAGTCATGAGGCAGGGTATTTTCTATCAAAATAAATAAATACTGGAAGGAATATTAGTTGGAGGAAGATTCTGTTGTACAAGTTATGCATACAGTTTATTTTATAAAGTAATTTCAGGCTTCTGCCTCCCAAATCTTTTGATGTAAGACTTCTTTACCGACAATTCAGTGGGAAAAAAACTTAATGTTCAGCGCCTACTATGTTGCAGATGAAAAGTGCAGCATCCAGAAATATAAATATTAATTTGCAGAAACTATGAGGATTTGCTGAAACATTTTTAATGCAGGAGCTCTGTGTTAGGCATTGGTAAATGAGAACTGAATCCGTAATGGCTAGTAAAGGCTCATTTCAAGAAGTACCCTCTAATGAATGCAATAAAAGAAAGCTGCTCACAGAACAATGAGATATTAATGTGGCCTAATTTATTTAGCTCCATTCCATTTGTCTAAAATGACAGACCCTTCTCATCAATGTCTTTTCAAATCACACCTTCTAATTAATTTAGCTTCTTATTAGTCTTTATTTAGAGAATTGTTCCATTTGAGACAAGCTTCCTGTGTATGTGTGGGAGGAACAGGGAGTTCAAACATTCAAATTACCTTTCTCTCTTTCATACAAAAGACTAATTCAGAGCCTAGGTGCTTCACATACAATCTGACCATCTGCAATTCTAGGCCTCCGAGAAAGAAAGTGGTTTCATCTATTGTTCAAAACAGTTCTCTTCTATATAGTGATCCAAAGGAAGCAATTTAAATGCAACAAGTTTAATTAGCAAAATATTCTACTGCAGTACTAGTTTTAACTCAGTAATTACTTCTGCTCTGATATTACATCTATGCTTGAAAAGGATAGCTACATCAGATTGCAGAAAATAACGGTAAGTATTAATTTGCAAACATCCATTACTTTCTCTGCTTCTTCACAGAGCTAAAAGACTACAAATGGGGACTACTGGCCCAGCTGTTCACTAAACGCCAATAATGGCATAAAAGAAAATAAACCAACCCAGGATGCAGAAAAAGAGCATTATTAGCCTTCACTGTTGAACACAAATACCTCATTGAAATTAGCCAACTTTTGCTTTCTTTGCCTTTCCAATCCTCCTGTCACTTGCAACTGCCAAATTAAGTTAATCCAAATTAAAAACTTACCTCTGAGTCTAATTTTGTTATTGAAACTAGGTTTAATTTAGAAACCACACAGACAGATCTGGTTTGGTTTTCTGCCATATAATGTATAAAGCAGCCTAACAGCAGATTAAAATATTCATCTCCGTTTAAAAACCTGTTGCAGTTGGAAATAAGCAAAGTATATAAATATCAGTCACTCATAAATGGATGGATAATAGGAATAAACAAGGTCCTGATTCAGAAAGGAATAGAAGATTTTAGTGTTTAAGAACAAGATTGTTCAAAATCAAACATGACTTGAAATAAGCAGCTCTAGTTTGGAATACCACCATTACTGGCTACAAATAATTAGGACAAAACTTATGTTTATATAAACAGCTAATATTCCATGATTTTTTTAAAGATAATGTACCTTAAAAAGAATTATAATCTTATTTTAGAGTCCAGAAAAGCATACACATTCAGCATGAATTAAAGTTTTTTGTATTAAGTATCATTTGAAGATATCTCAATGGATGCAAAAGCTAATTCACTCACAAACTCTGAGAGACCTAACCTTTTTTTCTAAAACCAGAGTTTTCAGAAACCTTTAGCCTACTGCCTTTGAACAGAACAAAACCTATTTAAATTCTAAAATTAACAATTAGCACATGAGTCCAAGCTGCATTATACAATCTATGCAGAAACACTAGGACTGCTTAGGGAGAAACTGCAAGTTATTTTGGCTTTTGTACTTGAAATATGGGCATAATAAGCTTTGAAGAGGCTGCAATCACAAATAGCGCTCTGCCCTGCTAAATGCAATACTAGGAGAGTTGAGAAGGAGCAGTATGCCCCAAGGAGTGGTTGGCAAATACCATCTCTAAAATACAGAGGGTCTTTATAGTGGGGATTACAGTTGGACTGGAGTTGTGCAAATAGTAGATTTCATAGTTCAGTTCGGTAGCTTTTTTTAAAAAAAAGTAGGAGTTTTCCCAGGTTTTTCTATTTTTTGGTCTGGGTTTTTTTTATTTGATTGCAAGGTTTCTGTGGCAAGATTTAAAACCTAAAAACTTAAACTGAGTTTGAGCATCCACTTTCAGGGTACCTTTTAATTAAACCTTCTTAAAATTACATAGATTGTGGGGATAAAAAGGCAGGGGAGAGCTATTTTACAAAAAATTATTTGTAAAAGTTCCCCCTCTTCTTCCTTCCAAGAAATCTATTTGGCAGATGTGGTGCAAATTGAGAAATGGCTTTGGTCCAGCACAAACCTCATTTTCACTTAAATTACAGCTAAAGTTTAAAAACTGTCCAGGTTAGTCTGCCGTGGACTATCCAAAAACACTGTGATCTTTACAGTGAGTAAATACATGGTGCATCTTTCCAGACCAGCTGCACCCACCTCTGGCACCGGGCGATGGGGGGCTGTTGCAGTGTATTGGTGTCCGAGCACCCCGTCACGCACCTGTTTGACTCCTAACAGCCTCCAATGAGCGAATCGCCCAAAGCTGAAGGAAAATGGAAAAACTCCCAGATCTTACAGTAAATGTCATATGGCAGAGGAAGTTCAAAGCATAAGTGATGCTTTAATAACTGCTATCCAAGGAAAAGCCCTGAATGCCTATAGCCATTAAGAGTGTGTTCATTCTGAACTTTGATTAAAATTGTATTCTGAGAAGGAACATAATATGCAAAAGACATCTGCTCTTTACACATGCCCAGAATGAAGGAAGGTTGATACAACCGATCAATATACACATATGGTTGCTATTAAAGTGCTATCATTTGCTAACCGGTAGCAAAAAGTAGTATCTGAAATTTCCATAGTAATATCTTATAAGTTATATTTAGAGCTGGAAACATCTGTGTTAACAGCATGGTAATGTTGACTTTTAGACGGCTTCTACATTTGTTTTCAAAGAGCAGACTAAAACAGAAGAATTAATATACCCGAGGAGACAGTGAGATGATGCTTTATGTATTTGGCTATTTTATTAATAGGTTTAATATTTGAGAAAGGATGCAAGCATAAATTTTTAAGAGCTGCTATTTAAAATCTTGAATTTTGACAAATAGATATTACAAAGTTAGATGCTAATATTAAAAGACAGAAATTTAACTGAACCCAGGTGCCCAAAAAGATCTCAAATAGTGGCAAATGAACCTCTTTTATTAGAGACAACACCCTGGAGCATGGTACATGTATTTACACTGAATATTTATCAACTTCTAGTGGAAAAAATACAACTGACAGATTAAACAGTGAACAAGTCAAAACACACGTTCTGGAAGGATGATTTCTGCAGGAGAGTTAGAAGCAAATGGAAAATTCCCATCTTAATTCATTATTATCACCCATTTGTGATAAATTAGTGGATATTTATGATCTCTGTTACCTACTGAGGAAGTAAGCACCGTGTTGCATTCATGAGTGACATCTAGGTACTGAATTATATAAAAGGAGAGCATGAAAAACTATAGTCAAACACAGTTTTGGAAAGTTGATTGTATCAACATGTTCACTTGGTAAGGTAGACAGGCATCAGGTGCTTAACAGGTACTAAAAAGTCTTTGGAAACTTGCACGGAGTGACCACCTTCACCTTGAAACCAAGACTATTTGTGGGCAGTTGATTCATTCAATTCATTTTAAGCAGTGTTTCCTACAAAAAAAAAAAAACCAGTGTATAATAAATTGTCCTTCGCTGGAGAAACATATCCCATCCTGGAACCACCAAGTATGGCTAATCTGACAACTGAAACTAAGAGGTATACAAGACTTGGCACAGTTTTGAATAATACCAGCAAAAGAGTGAATTCTTGTTGAATGTATTTTGCTACTGAGCAAAGCTATGAGGACTGGTAGAGACACTGGAGGTTGTCTGCAGGCTGATGAAAGCTTAATAGATGTAAATTAAAAGATTGTGTTCTGCAGTAATTAATTGTTTAGATATCTACATGCAGTGAAATTTTCACATGGCACTGACAAGTGACCTTTGCAAAGGAGCCTTCAAGCAGATGCTTTGAAGCACCCAGTTCTTCTGCTCTTCAATCTTCGTGAAGCAGCCAGAAAGCAAGCGGCTTTCTAGACAGTGACAGTATTTGCATACATGGGTCGACCAACGTTTCAGCTTCCTTACCCTAATTACCTGACATTTGTTAAAAAATTATAAAGCAGTGCTTTGTATAAAATGTAAGTTTTGCCCCATATTGCAGGCAGTGCTTTGTTCCTGTGTCGTAATGTAAACGAGAAAGTCCACAGACCCAGCAGTGTCTCAAATGGCATCTGCTGCCACTTTTGACTGTATCATTTATGCTCTTGCAGTTAATCAGAGACCTTCCTCTAATGTTTCTGCGGAGTTTTCAGTGGGCATCGTTCTTCAGCAACTTAACCTTCTGTACGAAAAGGATTCTTTCTTCTCACTGAATATGGACATTACTTCACACTCCTTGCCCCAGCTATTGGTTTAAGGTGCTGTAAGGTCCAAGAGTAGTCTAGGACTAATGAAAAGGCCAGTTCTTGGTGTCTTATAACCCAAGGTTAGAGCCCAAGTTGCCTACTGGGAAGATTAAATCATTTTCCAATGGGAAGCATAATATTTGCATCTCAAAGTCTCATGATACTGGACTTCAAGGTCACAGATGTTAAATGTTTTAGGAAGTCTGAAGGAGACTGTTGAAGTATTTCAGTCTTCTCTCCCTGCTATTTCTCTCCAGCACGGTGTTTGTTTTCAAAAT